CCAAAAAATTAATCAGATTAACAATAATGAACCATAAACCATTAGAACCTTCATTTAGTATAGACGTCAATTTTTTCTGTTTTCCACATTATTCCTTTCGGCCTTCCTACGGCCTACCATTATTTGTACTTTTGCAGGATATTCAATGCCGGATAACAATAACTATTAAGTTCTAGAAACTAAAGAATTTCCCACAACATTCAATAATGATCAATATAATTTTTCTTGCATTCCGCATCTTAGTTTACGAATAAGCTATCAGTCGAAACATGACGCAGACATCATACCTCGCGAACTTTCATCTAAAATATCGAGTGGTGGCCCATGAGATACTAAAATATCACAGTCTTCTGGAATTGCACTCCATAAATTTTTTGCTTCTCTTGATTTTCTAGCATATTGAAAACCACCATAAAACTTTGGTGTATATGGGCATCCATAGATAGTTATGCCAGAAACTTTAATATATTCATTTTCCAGATATATCACATTTTTATCTTTCGGAATTAGTTTCTCAAGTTGTATTTTTCTTCCACCGTTACATTTCTCATCCAAACCAATACCATCCATGTTTCCGGATATGAATATTTTATACTTGAAGTTGTCTAATGAGGACAACCATTCCACTGCATCATTTACCTCTTTGGCAGTTCCTTGCTCGCTAAAATCCCCAGCATGAATTAGGATGTCACCCTGCATTTTTCGGATGTGACTGTCGAATTTTAACTTGGAATGACCATTATGAGTATCCGAAATACAAACGATTCTAATAAAATCATTTTCTAGAGTAGCAGTTTTTTTACTTGAAGCTCCTTCTTCGTCTCGGTCCACATGATCGTGGTATGTAGAATTGAGCTCTATAGTCTGCGGAATAGAAGAATGTTGTCTAGCAGTTTCGTTTACAGGAACTTCCTTCATCATGACATCATCGCAATCATCATCATCATCATCCCTTTGTTCTGCTGTCTTCGGATGATTTTTCTGTTTACTCTTGGATGGTATAACATCTTCCACAGGAAGATGTGAATTCTTCTTCGATTTCACGTTGCTCATCATATGGAAACTCAGAGAAACAAGCAATTATCTGAAACGGAAATGTTTAGAAAGCTCTAAAGATATGTTGGAAAAAAATTTGAACCACCACTCCCCCTCCTCCACTATACAAGAGCTTAGGTCTTCTATTATGTTCCAGTGTAACAATTTTTCAGTGGGCGTTTATCAAGAAGCCAATTTTTTCCTAATGTTTAACTTAAAAGCTTGCCCAGAAAACTACAGCAATTTCCAGGGTTTCCATCACGATCTTCAGAGTTTTAGGGTTGTCGTTATGATTGGGAAGAAATTCTATTAATATTTCTAGCTTATAATGCTAACCATTAGGCATCTTTTCATGAAAAAACACTAATTGAAGTTTTTAATTAGCAAAACATTAATTAATCAAAGGGGCGTTCTGTTACGTCTGACAAACGATTTCGCCAAGAGGGTCTTGTATGAGGGGAGCGAGGAACATTATATGACAAGTAACGTTCATCGACATCGAAAGTCGATTCACTGGGCCCTAGACTGACAGTACTGAGGAGAAGAAATGCATGGACAGGACAGAAAATCCGTTGTTTGTGCCAGC